CCGCTGTGGCCTCGCCTGCCTGGCGTCCGCGTTCGTGGACGTGGAGTCTGCAGCTCGCTCTCCTTCCTGCCACAGCTTTGCTCAGCACCGGGTATTGAGCTTCGTTCTCCTACTGATGGGCCCGTTACGAATAAAACCGCTGTGAACAAGCCTCACGGACAGACAGGACAGACGGGGACACCTGAGGTGGGCCTCCTGGGTCATCCTGCGGGTGGCGTTTACCTTCAGACGCAAAGGCCTGGAGCGCGCGCGCCCCCTGCTGGCCGGAGCCCTAGCCTCGCTTTCCCTGCTGCCCCCATCCTGCTGGACCCGCCTCCTCGGGCTTCCAGGGGCGCAACGCCAGGCCTTGGCAGCAGAGGGCACTGGAGGACACGGCAGAGGGGGGCCTTCCTGCTCGTTTGCTGCCCGACCCCCTCGGTGTGGCGTTGTAGGAGTTCCTTCCCTCAGGACGCGAGCCCTTTGCCAGGCCTGCTTGTGACATTTCTTCCTAGTCTGTCTGTCTGACTCATTTACTGAGATAACATAGCGTTTTCCACCATAACGGATGGCAGGTGTTCGGGACAGTCACACTGTTGAGAGTCTCCGGACTCCCATCGCTGTCTGAAGCTCCCCATAAAGAGGGCCGCCCCGCCCTCCGGCCCCTGAGCAGTGACCCAGGTCCATCCTGCGGCCCCGGGGTGGGGGCAGGTCCCCGAGTGCGGCGCACACCGCGGCTCTGTTCACCCTCATCCTTGAAGGACACGGGGCCCGCCTCGTGGCTGCTGTGAGGGGCAGCTGTGAGCACGGGTGCACGTGCGTCCTCAGGACCCGCAGTGATTCTGGGCACAGCCGGAGCGGGGCTGCTGGGTCAGAGGGAGCGTCCGCGCGTCCAGCCGTGATCGGCTGTGGGGCTGGGAAATGCGGCTTTCCGGCTGCCCTAGTGTCCTTCGAGCACAGATGTTTAAGCTGCTGTGTCCCGTTTGCGTATCTTGCCTGTGCTTTTGGTGTCACATCCAATAAACCACTGCCGAGTCCAGTGCCGAAGAGCCGGTGAGCGAGCCCGTGGGCGCAGGAGCTGCCACCAGATGCAGCCGGACCAGAGGCGGGCGGAGAGCAGCTGTGGCCAGAGACCCGCC